GCATGGTCAACAAAAAGAATGCACGCGCATCAAGTTCAGGCATCGCCAACAAGGAGAGTGATCGTACACTGAGCTCAGGCACCGCCAAGGAGACTGCTCGCACCCTCCCTACAAAGATTGTTCGCGCATTGGGTTCGGGTTCAAGGCACCTCCAACAATAATGCTTGCACCATCACCATGGAGAATACTTGGGCGCTGAACTGGCCCTTGCTGCATTGCAAACAATTTGTCTTCCTTGGGGCACCAGGCAGTGTTGAAAGGGCAGACCAGTTTGACAATAATCTCTACATGCCATATCCAAAGGTCAAGACTGAAGAAGAAGGTTGCCAATGGTTTTTAAAGCAAGTTGAGGGTTGCCAAATCAGATTCTCCATTGGTGGTGCCAACTCTTCAGATTGCAGCTTTGACCCAGAGAGGTTTTTGACCAGAGAGCCTACAGGCTTGCAAAAGCTGCTGCAGTTGGTGGAGGAGAAGCCAAGCTCAGGGAGACTCAATGTCCGGACACGTCTGTCTCATTGAAGGGGCACGCATTCTTTTGACCAAGCAAGAGACCACCTCTTGGCCCTTGGAGGTGGAGTATGCAGACCTTGTTGCTCAATTAAACCAGTCAAGTGCAGCTAACTTGCTCAGCAATGGGCTGCTTGCCAAAATGGTGGGTCTGACGCGATTAGCACGCAGCCAGCGCGGATCACACGCACGAGACAATGTGCTTGCTTGGGAGTGGAATTGTACACGATTACGCGCAGGCAGCCTAACAAACAGTGTGGATCCCCACGCAATCACACGGTTATTAGCGGCAAGCCACCGCGACGCTACGCCTCGCGACTATGAATCATTCTTGACCGCGTCCAATTTCTTCTCGAGATCAAGTCCCACGAGAACATCCAGCAAGCGAGTAAATGCTTGTCGCCTCTTCTCATCGCTTGCATCCTTGACATGTGTGCTCAGCATCTCGTCGAGATCCGAGGCAGCTCGTAAAGAGTCTTCAGCGGCTTTTTCGTCGATAAGCTCAAGTCGAGCGGCGATGGAGGCTGTTCGACTGTCCATGAACGGATAGACGGCCTGCCAACCTTCGTGAGCTTGGATCCGCCGCAAAAAGATGTCTACACCCGTCGGCCCCAGGCCTTTCACGCCGGAAGTGAGCTTGCTGCGAGCCGTCTCCACGGCTTCGTCTCGCTCCTGGCCCTGAACAGCCTCGCGAACTGCTTTGAGCTCGATGACATCCTGTTCATCGTCACCGCAGATTTCTCTTAGACCTTGTACGACATCGCCTAGCTGATCAGCAGTCTTATCCTTGTGCTGGGTACGCGCTTCGTACATTGGCTCTCGCCTCCCCTCTTTCCCTGCTTTCTCCAAAGCTTCTGGTGTGTAGAGACCAAATGGCGGGCTGAAGAGAGTGGCGATGGTGCGCAGACCAAGGCGATGCGATAGCGGCTTGGAGAGCAGAATCGCGCAAATGAGCTCGGCAAAGGGCGTCAAGCCTGGCGATGTGTAGCCGCGCGCTTTTCCCGTCGACCGATCCTGGCCAACAGCGTCGGTGCGCTGCTCGGCTTCCAATTGACCCGTCTTCTCCTTTGGAAGCGGTTTGACGCGTTCCTCTTCAGACCAGTCCTTCTCGCCGTGCCCCTTTTCTATTCTCGGATAGGCAAGAGCATAGACGTCTTCGCTCAGCAAACGCTTCATCAACGAGGGATCGCTGCCCTTCTTAGTCTCCACCTTGCCTCCTTGCTTCTTCGCTCTTGGCTGCTTTGCTGTTTTGGCAGCCTTTGCGGGCGGCTCGGAGGGATCATCCTTTGATGACGCGCCGCGTTTGGAACGCGTTTGAGCTGGCATGTTCGCGCTTGTTGTCTGTGTCGAAGAGGCGAGTGAAATGACTTTTCCTGGAATGTTCAAAATTGGTGAGGGTCAGTTTGGACGAGCCAATATCCAATCGTCCCCTCCATCCTGACTCCTCAAACGCTCAAGTCTACAAGCCAAGAGTACGAATCCAGGAGGGTCTGATGAGCATCTTGAATCGGAGCCTGGCACTCAGACTCAGACTGTGACTCTGAGTCAGAAGAGTCGCGCTTGTAAGTCAAAAGTGGAGGCTGACACAGCCATTTGATTTAATTTGAACTACCGATCACGTGTCACGTGTCGTCTCGCAGGCGCGCACGCCAAAACGAAGCGCGTTGTGTCAGACATGCAAGATCGACACTTTGACTCAAGACTCTCGTGCAGCGCGCGGCCTGCTGTGGCATTCACATTCGTGATTCAGTTGATTCTGATTCTTGCAAGACATTTCACCAACGGTGCGCATTCGCATTCAGACAGTTGAAAAGAAATGCCTACACCCACTCATCGAACCTTGCACCTTCAGCATACACGCGCACACGCGCACATCATCACAACCGCACACAAGCTTCTCAATATCAATAGTGAATGCTGCGACGGAAGCACTGCCTCGAACCGATTCGCAGCCAGGCACGGTCTGGCGATGCGACGAGTGTCCGGGAAAGTAGAGGGTGGAGCGTGTATCGGAGCGTAAGAAGTCGTGAAACCGGCGGTGCGGGGCTGAGGGTGGGGCACGGCAGCAACATTCGCACGAATCTTCTTTCGAGCATCCTGGTTGCTGTGGTGCGCTCGAGGCGAGACAGAGGCAGGAGGTTGAGGGAACAACTGACTGAGCTTTTCGGGTGGAGATGCGTCTCTGTTACGGAGGATCGCTACCGCCACCGCCTCCGCCTGGCGTCTCGTAGCAGACCGGTCCTTCGGGAGGAAAGTCGCACAATGGGGGCTCATCGCGTCGAAGCTGCTCTTCGGCATCGCGCTGCTATTGTGGCACTCCATGGCACACCTGG